CTTTTTCGTCGCGCTGTGATGACGTCACAGCACGCTTTTGTCGAGCGCGATTTTGTCCTACGCACTTTTGTGGTGGAACCCTTTTTTCAGGAGGCAACTGGACTTTCTTAACTTCTCATCCAAGAAGCTTCTTCAACGCTGACTGGATGGTGGGGAATGGAAGGATTTACACTCCTTGCAAACAGAACTGGTCATTTGCATTGAAATTCAGGCCTTAAGTCCCCTTTTTTTAGGTTGCTCAAAACTTCGATTGCCAAGCGACCGATCATAAGAAATCATTCCTTTTCTAGCCGTTCAGTTGAAAATATTAAATGCCAGAGAGGACAAAATCACTCCTTTGCTGCTTCGTATGGCTGTTCTAACCATTAACAGAAGGAATATCTTTTTAAAAACCCCACAATTCAGAGGTCACACTATTTTTGTAAAATTTGAAATAATTCTGATACGATCAGAAGGGGATGTTTGGAAGATTTTGAGCTCAAAATGTTTTGTATACTCAACAGATGAGCGAATAATTCTAAGCAGGGGCCTCCGGTTAGTTGTGGCCGATAATTGGGGACCAGAAGCTACTATAAAAATCAAGAGTTTTTCATCCTTTCTGTTATCTAATGAATTTGAAACTTTTTTTTTCATCTTTTCCTTCCAGAAAGAAGATATTGTGGTCACACTTCTGCCAGCCGGCCATTGTCCAGGATCAGTTATGTATGTGTTTTGTTCTTCTATCAGACAATTAACAGCAGTGGTGGAAATATATATTTTGTCTTCTTTTGCCGTAATTCTTTCACATTTCCATGAGAATCTAAGTGTCATTAGCCTAGTTCAACCCCGTTAGAGGAAGGGAGGGAGGGAAGAAAATGGGAATGAGGAAGGAAGGAAGAAAGGAAGGAAAAGGGAGGGAAGAAATTGCAAATGAAAAGGAAAGGGAGGGAGGGAGGAAGGAAAAAGGGAGAGGAGAAAATGGGAAGGAAGGAAGAAAAAGGAAAGGAAAGAAACAGAAAGGAAGGAAGGAAGGAAAAGAGAGGGAAGAAATTGCAAATGAAACGGAAAGGGAGGGGAGAAGGGAGAATGAAGGAAGGAAAAAGGGAGAGAAGAAAATGGGAAGGAAGGAAAAGGGAAGGGAGGGAAGGAAAAGGGAGAGAGGGAAGAAAATGGGAATGAAAAGGGGGAGAGAGGGAAGGAAGCAAGAGAAAAGGGAGGAAGAAAATGGGAAGGAAGGAAAAGGGGAGGATGGGATTTCTAACAATGCCTACCAGCTTCCCACAAGGAAATGCAATGGGGAAGACAGCAGGAAGTCAAAAGTCGTCCTGCCTTTCCTGCTTTTTCGCCCGCCCTTCCTCATTCTGCTTCTCCGCTTGGGTAAGGGGACACCTCTGAAACAACGACCCAACAGGGCTTGGGTTGTTCAGCATGTGTGGATGTGAATAATGAACGAATCCGTTTCCAACCAGGTTTCTCTTCCAAGGGGGAAACGGGACGGTCTTGTACACGGGGGATTTCCGACTCGCCAGAGGAGAAGTGGCCCGAATGGAACTACTGCATTCAGGAAGCAGGTGAGGCAAGCCCCCGGCTCTCCCTCTTGGACCACCTTCCTAGCTGGCTCCCAACATGCAAAGCCAACAGGAGGAAGCCAGGTGTTTTGCCATCCTCTTAACAACCAAAAGTGGCCATTCGGATCTGGCACAACTCGCTTAACTGCCTTGCTTACCAGGAGAAATTCTGGGGGCCCATTTGTGGTCATAAGTCAAGGACTCCTGTACCAATCCTGCCATTCTCTTTTCAGAGTGAAAGACATCCAGAGTGTCTATTTAGACACCACATTCTTTGACCGCAAATATTATCAAATACCAAGCCGGGTAAGTCACTTGAGAAGATAACCTTCCATAATCGCATGCTAAGGGTGTATAATATGTAAATGAAAACATTTCACCAACTAGTAATAAAGATAAAAACTTTATTTTCTAAACACTTTCTATTATTCGGCTATGCATTTTCTATGGTGGGAAAATGGGAGGGGGGATTGTACGGAGTTAGATGATATATAGCCATAACAACATTCTTTCTAGAAAGCCAAGGTCATCCTTTGTCTCTGCACTTCTGCACCTGGCCGGAACTGGATGGGTGGAAACTCCCAGCATGGCAGTGGGAGATTGGACCATGGGATGGACTGGTGGGTGTTGGGGGGGCAGGTTCTTCAGAGAATTCTTGCTTGCAATATTTGGCAATCTAACACAGAATAAGCCTGAACTAATTATATTGCATTGGAAAGGTTTAAATTGGCTAGATGGCTTCCCAAATCATTAATTTGTATAGACGAAACAGAATGTATGAATTGCCAGGAATTTAAGAGGAATTATCACAATAAGCAGCACAGCAAGCAAAACTACACCACAAACAGAAAGACAGTTAAAATGTTATTGGTATGCGTGTTGGCTGCAACAAAATGCATGCATGTAATTTATTTCATAGGTTTTATACATATTTATGCTTCATCCTTTGTCTCTGCATGGCAGTGGGAGATTGGACCATGGGATGGACTGGTGGGTGTTGGGGGGGCAGGTTCTTGAACTTTCAACTGGGTGGGGAAAACCATGAAGCTTTCAGAATCGGGTTAATGTCCCAGATGTGCCAACATGGCTCTCTTAATAAATTGGAACTTTGAGCAATACTTTGCCTTGGACTCTGATTTACTTTTGGATGCTGTTTGGAACCCTGAAGCTATATTTTGCTTTATTCTAGATGATGGATCCCTGCATCTTGTCCACACTTCTTATTCCTTATTAATTATTTCAGAATCTTCCAGTAGATCATCAGAATGTTTTTGCCTGCTTTAAAAGAA